GTGGGGCTGGCCCCGAACGCCCTCCCTTGGTGACTGTCGCATCCCGTGACAGCCACAGCGCGCAGCGGGGCGGGGAAGGCGCATCCCGGCCGCCGTGACGGAGAACGACGCGAACAGCGAGGCGAGAAAGGCGCCCGTCAAACCGCCCCGGGGCGAGCGAGCCCCCGCGGCCGGGCAGAGCCCAGTGCCCTTCCAAAACTCTGATTCGTTCCAGAGTGGTGCCTCCGAATTTAGCGGCCATGCGAAGTGACCTGCACCACGTTTTATTTCCCAGCAGACTGATTTCCTGCTTAGCTAATCTCAAAAGCCAGTACTGTTTCCCCCCGCTAAAGCGACTGATTTGTTTATTTGACTGAATTATTTGACTTAGTAAATGACAGCCTTGTCCTGGCAACATTATCATGCAGTGTTTTGTTTTATCTGTTAACTGTTGGATCACAATACGCTTTGTTGTTTTCCCACCGCCAGAGGACTGAATCTCTTTAGCAACAAATTAAATCTAGATAGCACAAGCAGTTCCTCTAACAGTCTTTGTGCTTAAGAAAATACAATAAAGTATTTATTAAAAGGTCAGATAGCGCACTAGGCTCCCTTCAGTAAGTTTCAGTCAATAATTTACAAAAACCAGGTCTAAGAAGGGGGAGAAATGTGAAGGCAGTGACGGGCTGGCCACTCCCGTCAGAGCCACTGCCCCTCTGTCCTTGAACTCCTGTTCCCATAGATTTGCACCTTTCAGACCCTTGTTTTGCTCAAATTCCTCGTTACAAATGTGCACTTACAGCTTCTGTAGAGCATGGTCCATCGGTTTCAGGGTGGGGGTGTGCCGTACCCGGCACACGTCCCACGCCGAGCGGCCGCAGGGCAATTCTCCTTGACGGGATAAGCGGAGGTCACGGGCAACTTGGAGAAGCGAAAGTAAACAGGGAGGGAGCGAGTCCAGCTGTGACAGCCGGCAGAGCTCGGCCGGGAGCGATGGGCGGCTGCTCCTCTGCGCCTGGCAGTCAGCAGCAATTTGCTGGTGATTTTAGGGGACGCGTAATTAGCTCTGAAAACCAAGATGTTTGTTTGTTCAGAGTTATGAAGGCTTTTTGTGTGTATGCTAATAATTTCTAGAGTTGCTTTGCATATAAAATGGGTTATTTTCCAATCTTATTTATATAGTCAGAGTATGATTACTGGGATGATTACTTTGTTGGCTAGAAGGAGATGAAGAAAAAAGTTCTCTGACTCCAAACACAAAAGCAGAAGCTGTGCTTCAAATTCCCAGCTCTTTATTCCTAACCAGTTAAGCCAAAGCGTGAAATGGGAACAGAACTGGCTCAGATGAAACTTCCCCCAGAAGGTGCTGGCACTGCCCAGGCTGCCCAGGGAATGGGCACGGCCCCGAGGCTGCCAGAGCTCCAGGAGCCTTTGGACAGCGCTGCCAGGGATGCCCAGGGTGGGCTTGTTGGGGGGTCTGGGCAGGGACCAGGGGGTGGACTCCATGATCCCTCAGGGTCCGTTTCAGCTCAGGATATTCTATGACAGCCTGGAGCACCCCCAGGTCTGGAAAGCCCTGGTGAGTTTTAACTTCCTGTATATTCACCTTGCACCTGGCGAATTACACACCCCTGGTTCTGCTCTGATACCTTATCACTGGAAATTTTAACAGCATTAGTAAAACAAGAAGTTGATGCAGATAATGAAAAAATTATGTATCTGGCACAAGGGAATAATGGGCATGTAGAATAAGTCCATGTATACTGATCACAAATAGTCCTGGTAAATCTTGCACAGATTCTGGAGAATGAACAACCAGCTTCACAAACATGTTCAACACTGCACTTGGCTCCTTATCTAAAGCACAAATCAAATTGTACCCATGAAAAAAAATACTCAGCTGATTATTTAAAAGAAACCCAAACAACTGAATTCTTTGAAGATAGGAAGCAAATAAAGCTGTCAGAGCATCCTCCCCTTAAAAGAGGTGTGTAAATAAACAGTTGACTGATTTGGCAAACTGACATTCTGCAAAGCTGTGGGAAGGGAACAAAGCCACTTCAGGTACACGTCCTCACATGGAAGTCGTTTCTGTGCCAGCTCTGGGCCTCATCTGACCCCCACAGTCAGGAATGAATGAGAGGATGGTGTGCAGCCTGTGTGAAGTAAAGCCCAGTACGGGGCATGGGTTAGTGCTGGTCCCTTAGACTTCTTGGGTCATCCTTGAAGGAGAGTTGCTGGGGTGCGATGGTCTGCTCAGATGGGCGGATGGCTTTATCTTTTGTAAAAGGAATTGTGGGGATTTTAATTGTTGTAGTCATAGTCTTGCTTATGTTTTCCTGTTTAGTTAAATGTTTACAGAAATCCATAGGAGAGGCCTTTTTAATAAATAAAGAAAGGGGAGTTGTGGAGGCCTGTGGGCCTGCTAGGGGACTTCCTGGGGCTATGCCCTGGAAGAATGTCCCCTAGACTTTAACCTCTCCCACGGACTCCTGTGACATGCTGTCAGTCAACCCCAGTGCCACTCCCGCTGTTGGTCCCTCGGCCGTTCAACAGCCTGTTAACCATGTATGATCAAGGTTCTAGCAGTCTCTGTGTTTCTGTACCCTCGTTGGTCTGTACCCCTGTCTGTTTACTCTTGTGTTTCCCTTTGGTCACTGTAATCCTGTTCTCACCCACACCTTCAGGTGACTGGTGGTTGCTGTTGGTTCTGCCCCTTTGTACCAGTTTATAGTCCTGGACCCTCCACCTCTCCCTGTCCTTGTCCCTGGACCCTTTCAGTGTGTGGATGAAATAAACTACCACCAGAAACCTGTAAAAAGACTCTCCTGCCTCCACTGTCTCACATAACCAGCTGCTGCGTGTGAGGGTGGTATTTGCTGTGTGCTTCGTGGAGTGCGCTCCTTGTGGAGACCCTTCAGGAAGGTTTCAGCAACCTACCATCTGCCCACACTGCAACAGGTTAGAGACCACTGCAGACTCCAGCTCATAGACACAGCATAAGTCCTGTGGGAAAGACTTCTGTGAGCAGTGTGCAAGTCATCAGTTTTATAAAATACACAAGGAAACGCAAGTGTTCTGTAGCAGAATTAAGAGCTTGAATTCAGCTGGAACCACCGGACAGCAAACATTTAAGGATTACATGGTTTTAAATGTCTATTTTAGAGACTCAGCTGCTTTCATCTCCTTCCCACACAGCACTTACTTCCCTTCTGACAATAAATTATGTTTGCACGAGCAATAAAGCTAACTCCAGGGGGTGCAGCCATCAGAACTAAGCACAATCCCAGAGGGAGCCAAGCCACAAATCTTTCACAAACAGTTTGGGTGTTGCTTCCTTATCTTGGTGTAACTTTGCTGCCTCTTGGGTTAGCTGCCCAAATAAATGATAGTCCTTTAGCTCTGGCACAGGGACAGTGAATGTACTTGCCTTCTGGGATGCTTCCCATGGCTGCCAGCATCCCTGGCAGCTCAAGGGTGCACTTTTTGTCCCATCCAACATTACTCAGCTTCACCTCATGCAGAACAGGAGCCAGGCTGTCTGCTCACACAAAGTGTTGACCTAAACATCCCAACAGGGAATTTATTTCACTTGCAGTCATATTACTGCATTTTAAAGCCACATAATAAAATTAAAACATCAGGGAAGTAAATAATGGAATTCTGTGAACATAATCATAGAAATGGGAAGAGGCAGGAAATTTAAAGGAGCTACAGAGAGGCAGGATCAAGGATATCTTGGCCACCCTTCACATGTGTACCTTAGGCATAATACTGCCAGTAGGGCAGAACACCTCCCTCCCATGCCTATAACTCTTTTTAATCCTAGGCTGAGATGTATCTTCTTTGTGAAGGACTTGTTTAACCATTTGTTCTACACTTCTGGGGATCAGAGAAATCCTTCCATTCTGGTACTTTTGAGGTTCTCTTCTCTCACCTTATTAAAGTTAGATTTGCCCTTTTCCATTTTCTAAGGGCCAGGCACTCACCACCCTCTCAGACAAGAATTTCTTTCCTGTATCTCATCTAACCTTCTGGCAGTGGGGAACCATTCCCCCTTATTTCCAGTCCCTCTGCAGCTCTCCTGGAGAGGCCCTGCAAGGGGCTCTGAGCTCTCCTGGAGCCTTCTCCTCTCCAGGTGAGCACCCCCAGCTCTCCAGCCTGGCTCCAGAGCAGAGGGGCTCCAGCCCTTGGAGCAACTTTGTGGCCTCCTCTGGACTCTCTCCAACAGCTCCATGTCCTTCCTATGCTGGGGCCCCAGAGCTGGACGCAGAGCTTTGTTTGAGATCCTACCCAAGCAGAGCAGAAGGACAGAACCATCTCTCTTGACCTGCTGCCCACACTGCTGGATAGAGAAGCTGTCTGGGTCTGACTGAAAACTGCAGGCAGAATAGTTCACAGCACAACTACATCCTGATAAACACTAGCTAGTATTAACTGGATGAATTGAGAACTTAATTGGGTGGAGTGACGGGAAGTATATCTATTCTAGTTTTTGCAGTGCGTAGTGAGAAGTGTGTTGCAGGGTGCACCTTGGTGTAGCGTACAGCAGAACTGAGATTATTAGAAACAATAGGAAAGCTCCTCTGCTGCAACTTCCATCTTACTGAATTTCAAGCACCTGTTTTTGATCTCTGCAGAGTATGGCCAGGATAGAAGAGGGCATTTGCCAGCAAGCTACAGTAATTTGAATTTCAAAACTGAAGCTTCAGAACTGCAGGCTGTGAGAGGATACTGGATTCATATCAAGGGAATATACCACAAAACAATTACTGCAGCCTGCTATAAGGTCATGTTTCCACCCACAAGAGGGATGTGATGATACCCATTAAACAGAAAACTGATGATAGTATTAAGTAAGACTTCAGCTGGAACAAAAATAACTATACTGTAAGTAATATATACATGTATTTGCATATAAACAGTAGAAAAAGCACTGTATCTGTTACTTAACTATTCAAAAAGGACAAAACAAGGAAAAAACCCACCTTGTTTCCCCACATGATGTACAGATTAACAACAGGAAAAGAAGGCAGGCTTTCAAAAGCTACTTCAGCCCTTTATTTAGAGAGGTCTCACAGGGATGATGCTGCAGCGATCCTGAGCTGGCTGCTCCAGGAAGGCTGCACTGCTGTTCCCCACCTGCACACCAACTGCTCTCACACTGGGACACCAGTAGAAGCTACAGGAGGTCACTGGTGGGGGCCCCAAGGTGTGCCACAGCACCGCACCACACCCCTCCCTGTGCCATCTCCTCTCCCACAGGCTGGCAGACCTGCAGATGGGCCTTTGCTGCACCCAGTCTTACATGGTCTCTAAACACAGAGCAGATGAATAAAGACCTTTCCGATACAAAACAATGGGGCATTTAATTAAAACCAAATTTGTTTTGTAGTTCTATCATTCTATTTTGTAAAAATATGGGGGACTTTTCTTTCTGAAATTCTTACAAAACCCACTGATTCAGAGAAGACTGGAATCTGAGAGGTGTGCAATTATTATCAGCTACTTCATATGAGGCAAATATGCCTCTTCACTGTGCATAAGGGCATTATTCGCCATGGTCACACTACACAGCACACTGCAGAGAACAGCTCTGGATTGACAGCCCCAATATTCACATCTTTTATTTGCATTAGACCTTGAAGCATTTCTCTTAAATAACCATCTTGGAATATAGAAAACTTACAGTTCATATGAATAATAAACGTTCTATGTTGTCTTTAAGGCACATATTTCTATTGACGTGTCATTTTGGTCCAGAGAAGCAGTTGCATTTCAGACACCAGCTATACAGGTAACTGGCAGGTTGGTTTGTTGTAACTATCCTTATGACTGTAGACTTCAACAACGTGTATGGAGTTCACCGTCTGCAGTTCAGTGTTGTGTCTTGGCACCATGTGTGCCCCAGGTGCACCACTGCTCTTGGCTACCTTCAGCAGGTCACTGCTGTCTTTGCAACACCCAACTACGACATCCCGAGTCCGCTCTTCCTGGGACCTGTAAGCACAAAGGGAAAAGTTATTTCTGTTTCATTAATTCTGGCGAAGGTACAGAATTTGTGCATTTTATTGGCACATCAGGTGTTTCGCAAATGACTTGTGCTGTAACATAAAGAACTGCTTCTCCCAGCATCAAAATCAGTTGGCAGCAACGGGGCAAAGAGTTGTGTCTCTGTAAAAGCCTCAACAAGACCTCAAGTACCTTTTTGCTGGGTACCAACTGAGCACTGAGCACCCCATAACCTGCCATCAGGGAACAGAAGCTACATGGGGTAATGCTGCACACCTTGCTGCCAAAATAAAATCTTCTGAGATACTTGCTGTTGTGCACTTATTTATTTTTTTACAGTATAAGGAACTTAGTTCCATCTTCTTGAGATGGTAGTCAAAGGTCAAAATAAAAATCAAATCAAATCAGCACATAGACAGAGAAGGACTGGAATAAAGTTTTGCCTGGGCCAACAAAACAGCCTTTGAAAAAAAAAGTATTTGCAAATTGTTCTGCCAGAATTATAGCTCAAGTCTTGTTATGCTGGTTTTAGAGCAATAAGTAAGTCCACCTGGGCAATGGTCATCCCACTCTGATGTTTTCCCCTACAAATGTTGTGAAACACTTCAATTACCCACATTCCACCACTCAGGAACCCAAACTGGCTAAAACCGTACTTGGAGAAGAAATATACTCCTGGCTTAGCAACCCATTCCTCCCATTTCAGGAACTATTAAGCTTTCATTGACATCTGCTGGCACAAGGTGTCTAGAGAAGCTGTGGCTGTGTCCAAGGCCAGGCTGGTTGAGGCTTGGAGCACCCTGGTCTAGTGGAATGTGTCCCTGCCCATGGCAAGGGGGTGAATGGGATAGTCTTTAAGGCCCCTTTCCATCCAAACCATTCCACCATTATGTGGTTCTATAAGTGTAGGGTGAGACAGCAGGCACCTCTCTTCCCTGCAATAGATTAAACCCTGAGCACATCAGAGGGACAGTGAAGCCAGCAGGGTTTCACTTCAGCAGAGGATGAGAAGAGCTATTAAGAGGGTTGCAGTGGCACCCAGGGACAACTGTGCAGGCAGTGGGCTTTGCTGTGTGCATGACCCTCAGTCAGACACAGTCTTCAGTTTGCTCTCTCATCCTTGGAAGCTCTGTACTTTGTCCCGAATAAGCATGACTGTATTTTCAAGCAGTTCAACTTTCCTTAACTCCAGTTCCCAACTGGCTACTTCAAAACACCACAGCAAGAGGATCAGAACCCTTCTCTGCACCCTTACCATAAATATAAACCCGCCCTGGGTGCTGCACAGCCAAGTGCATGATGCATTTGACAAGGACAGCCTTTATCTGACATATAAAATTTGGAGCTCCCATCAGGGGAGAAGAATAGCCATCACAGCATTTGTCAGTGGGATTTAGAGGATTCACAAGAATATTTTTCTGTGTGACATGAGAGCTGCTCCTTGCTGGAGGGAAAACACTGTTAACAGGACATCCGAGATGTGTGAGAACGCAGCCACAAAGCTGCCTGGTGCTGGCACTGCATCTCAAAACAGCTTTTATACTAGAGGGTGGGAGGGGATTTTTTCTTGCTGTATGCCTAGTGGCTTTGTACAAGACCCTGGGGTAATCAGGAAAGCATTATAAAAACAATAATAGCAGCACTATTGAAAGCACATGTTGCTGTACATACCCCCTTCGAGCTCTTGCAATGACAATTAAGGCTCAAATTCAGAAATAGGAGTAACTTAAAAGCCAGTTTATCCTACCCTTCTAACGGGGCCCCAAGGTGAAACCACAGCTCACTTTCCCTGTCTCAGCTTTCTTTGAAACCTGCATGTCGAAAGGTACTGGGAAGATGTGAGCCTCTGAAAGGTGGTGGTGGGGAGCACAGAGCACAAGAAAAACAATAGGTAAAAAAAGAACAACTCCATGAATAGAAAAGCTCGAGGCTGGACCAGTCACAAGGAAAAGCAGGGAAAAGAAGGGAAAGGAAATCTGCTCCTCTCCTCTGCTGGGTCTCCTCCCCTTCATGTTGCCATGCAATCAAACATTTCGTGTAGGGAACTGTATCAATTCCATACAATTGTATCAATGGATGCTGTATGTGATGCAGCATTAAACCCCACAGTGATGCTGAAAAAGCTGGGCTGCCTCTCCTGATGGCATGCTGGCTTTGTGATTTTTTACAAAACCTTTTCAGTTGGAATTCTTTGTTATTGGATTGCCCTTATTTGCTTTTTGCCAGGTAGAATGGTAAAGCATCTTTTAGCCAGAAAGGTCTCTGGTACAGAAATTTCAGCGACTAAAAATATCTTCTGTGGGAGAATATACCAGCCTGCTTCTCTGCAGAAGGATTTTTTCTTCTTGATAATATGCTCCAGCTGTGTGAATAGCTGAAAGGAGGACTTTAACCCTACTGAGACATGGGCTTTTCCATTTGACTAGCTTCTGCAGTCAGATCAGCTACTTCACAGACAATGAACTTAGAGTTGTGAAAAATAATTCACCTCTAAACAGTCCAAATTTGGAATGCTCAACTTCTTCCAAATGCTTCCATGCTAGACAAAAAAAAAAAAAAAAAACAAAACAAAACAAAAAAACCACACACACCAAATTTCTTTGATTCTCTTTAGATTGCGTTTTTGAGCTGGACTACTTTTTTTTTTTTCTGGTTGTCATCTTACCTGACAGAGAATGAAAAGGAGCTAGTGTACAGCTACATTCAGTTCTCCTGAGTATGGAAAATGCTGGATCATCAATTCTCCCTTACAAAAAATCAGCACATCCCTTGAGTCAAGGGAATATCTATTCCAGAACAGGTTACAGGACTTTTACACTGAAAAGCAGAGCAACAGAGCCAGGGTGTGGCTATTTCTGACCATCACTAGGAAGATAATGCAAACTGAAATGAGCTCTCTCAGTGATTTCTTTACACTTGCTATCTGTGCTGCACCTGGGATGGTATCTTCTACACATGCTGATATATAAATAGGTTCCAAAAGAGAAGTGCCTGGTTTTTTAATGCCTCTTAATGCCAGAAGGGTTTGCTGTTTGCTCTCACCATGTTAGACTAGCTTGTGCATATTTTGTCAGACCAAAAGTGGTTCCAGTTGGATTCAGGATCCCATTTCTGGCACAGAACATTTCCATTTCCTTGTGTTTTTATAGAACTGATGGCTTCACTTACAGAACAAGTGTAAATGCTACAAACTGCTTAAACAAGCACAGGACAGCCCCCTTCCTGAATGGATGCTTAAAATGTAATTGATGTACATTACAGCAATGGACAGGACAATTCTTTACAGATTTAAAAATTGGCAATGGTGTTTATCAGAGCAATTGCTTATTTGTGTTTTCTCACCCTGTACTCCTAGAGCAACAGCTCTGCTAAGGCTGTTGCACTAGTTTGCTGTGAAGCTTTGCCTCCTTGCTGAAAACTGAAGGCACTTTTTAAGCTCTGTCATTTTGGGGGAGGTTTAGGTTGGATATTGGGAAAAAAATTCTTCACACAAAGAGCTGTCAAGCCCTGGAACACCTTCACCTGGGGAGCAGCTGCAGCTGACCATGAGCAGTGGGTGAGCGTAGCCCTTGTCAGCATTAAGCTAACCCCGCTCTTCTTTTGGACACCCATTTCTTTAACATAGCATCTCAGTGACCTTCACCTCCATCTCTCAAACACTACTAGCAGCTGGCACAGAGGAAGGACAGCTGCCATTAAGTTTCTCATTACTGATATTTTACCCTGTGCCTGTCACGAGGCAGAAGACAACCTGCTGTCTCGGGCAGATGGCTGGTCCTAGCTCTCCCACATTGCTGGTTGCTGGGATGGCAGAGGGCTGTTTGTCTCGGGAGGTGAGTGCCCAAGAAGTGCTCCAGAGAAGAGTTACTGCAGGGTCAAGCATTATCCTTCATCAGAAAATAACTGAGTCAAAACTAACCCATCCCGGTACATCTTGCAGTCAGGCTCCGAGAGCCATCGCCAACGTGCTGACAAGCCCTCTGCCCAGCAGTCCTCCTGGGGACTGCTTGGAGGCTCATGGACATTGTTCTCCTCTAACTACGTGGCCCAGGGCTGCAGCTAATCTCCCTTCCCTAGACACAGACCCTTGTTTTCAGCTAATCTGGCTCAAACTTCTGCACCACAGAGAAAACTGCTATCTCTGCTCCCTGAACTTCTCAGAAGCAATGCTGGGGGAACACCTCCCTCCCAGCAGCACCATGATCTGAAACTTGTTTTTCCCTGCTCAACATTATGGAGTGTTTTCAATAATATAATAGAGTAAATATGCTGTAAATACTTGCAGCTCTGCATATAAGATCTTCTGCTAAAATTTGGTATGTTCATCCTCATTATGATTCTTTACATCCAAATGAAAGAGGTGGTATATGCAGTGATGGCACTCTGTAGTTAATGATCCCGGGTATTTGTACACATATTTCTTATCACTTTAAAGCAATTTATTCAACCAGAAAAGCAGTCAGAATTAGGATCATTATAATTAAAGCAGTTGCCACTAAAATTCAATGTTTCCCTGCAAAACTACATATTCATGATGTTTGTGATATGCTTCAAACATGAGGGGGGAAAGTTCTCATTTTGTGGCAGCCAGGTCCAGAAGAGCACAGTGGAGCCCCTACAGCCACACAGCTGGGCTTCTCTGTTATTTATAACCTCTGCACATCAGCACTCTGCACCCACATTGTGCCACTTCACTGCAGCCAAAATTATCTTGCCAGCATACTAAGGCCCCTCTTTAACTGGTTAGTGTTTTAATCCTAAATTTGTCTGTAAACCTTTATTTGTTTTGTAAATCTGTATTTGTTAATACTTTACCTGCTTGAAAGAATTGAATTTTTATTTTATATTGTCTTACCTAAAAGAATTAGCTTTTTATTTTATCTCTTCTTACAGTATTTTGACCCTAAAGTATGGAATCAAAATATTAATCTCAAAATCTATTCAATTAAGTCTGAAAAGTAGCATGACCTACATGCTTTTTCTAGTCAAAAATAAATTAAGACATACTCAAGAGAGTCTTCTTCAAGGGTGGAGGAGTTCTTACTCTTCCAGATACTTCGTGTGCTACAAGAAGCAGCAGAACAGTTTCTTTGAGAAAAGAGAGAAAGCTATCATAAAAATGACTGAATTTGTCAGGCCCCCACCCCCTCCCTTGTCAGACATGGGCAGCATTCATCTCATCTTCCCCTTCTAAGTGGGCTGCAGAGCCACTTCCCATGGCTGGGCTGCAGAAAACAGCATGTACCACAGCCCTGGAAAAGGCAGGGAGGAGAAGATGTGTGCTTCTTCAGACAGCTCCTGCCTAGAAAAACCAAGCAGGATCGCTGCTGTGCTCGGAGATCTCTTGATGCATTGGGAAATTCCTCCAAATATCTGAAACCTTAACACAAGAGGATAGGGTAGGTTAGAATAGGGATAGGGTGCTGATAGACTACAGTAGACTAGACTAGACTGAGATATCTCAGTGGAAGGGACTCACAAGGATCATTGGGTCCAACCACCTGATCCCTTTAGGGCTGACCAAAAACTAAAGCTCGTTACTAAGGGCATTGTCCAAATGCCCCCTGAGCAATGCCAGTTTGGGCCACCAGCACTGACCCACTCTCCACGACCCTGTTCCAGGGTCTGACCATCCTCTTGGTACACAAATGCCTACTCATGTCAAGCCTCAACCTCCCCTGAGGAATCTTGGTTAAATTCTCTTTTGGTTCTTGACCATGGATATGCAGAATTATATAGAATCTTTCCTCTGGGGCTGCCTGCCCTCAGTTTTGCTGCTGTTTTCCAACCATGCCACATGCCTGTATTTATTTCTTTGGACAATCAGTACAGTGGTTGCACCCAGGTTTAGAGATTTCCTCCAGGCTGCCAACATTCCCATCTCACACTGGAGGGGAAACGGTACCACAGCAATCAGGCAGACAGGTAATGTGTCCTTCCATTCTGGTCCCCCCAGCACAGCCCAGCTCCATGTTTGCACCTCCCCAGTGCCTGCACCATTCTCCTGTTTCCAGTAAGCCAGATGGACACAGGATGAGGAAACTTAGCCTAATTTGTTACACACACTAAAAAAAAATCTTGCAAGTGAAATACAAAACCGACAGGCCATTTGTTGTCTTCATGAAATCTATCAGCAGAAGTCCCCCATCTCACCTTGCATGTCTATTCATTTTACAGAATTAAAGAATAGAAATCACTTGAAATTACTTGATTAAACAGCTCTTATTTGAGTGGAAAAAGGGAACAAGGTATAAATAAGGAAGGGTCCCATCTGTTCCAAGAGCAATTCCAGGTTTTATTCAGAATCACCTTTAATGACACTTCCATCTCTGATTACAAGCAGTGCCCACTCTCCATATGCAAAACAGCTTACTTTTGGCTAAGGGTGCACAGACTGATATACCTGCTCTCATAGCTGGTTTTAGCTCTGGTTAATGATTAGCCAGGTTCCCATCAACTCATTCAAACCTTTATTTAACAGCCTTACCTGTAGAAGCCTTGGTTATCATATGCCATGTCAGTCACATCACCAAAACCAGATGTATTCCTGAGTTTCTTACTGTTGTTGTTATTGTTTCTTCCCTTAAAACCAAAGTAAGCAGCTTGCATGTGCTCTAGCTCTTCAGTCCTCAGCTGGTACCACAGCTGCATTTCTCTGTGAATAAACAAAGCAGTAGAAACAGTTTTGTGATATATGGCTGTACAGCTGAGCTGTTATCTGACCACAGACCTGACTCACTAGAGTTTAAATCTCATTCCAGGTGTACTGAAGAAAGCACTTAAACACGTGCTGAAATTCATGTGTAGACTTGCAGAGATTTAAATAACACCCTAGGATAGGGAGCTCTTCAATAGCATAAATATTATTGTGTAAAATAGTGTTGTTTTAAGAACTGCCCAGCACTCCTCAAAAACAAAAGCAAACAAACAAGAAAATGAGAACGATTTTCTTATGAGCACCAGTGGATAGTTCAAAGGAACAAAACTCCAAGAATTATGTCCATTTGATCCCGTGTTTTTCCAGATTACACGTCGCAAGAAAAGTCATATAAGGTGGGATGATGTCAGTGTTCTAACGGACCTTCAACAGTGACATCAGGCCACAACCTGCTGTGTGTGAAAAGACTTCGTATCATCTCCATTTTATGGGATAACTTATTTCAGGAAAAAAAAAAATTTCTGTGACTTTTTGCATCACTGCTATTCTTAATGTTTCCAAAATCACCAGGCAGGTTAAAAAGATATTTACTTAAAAATGGAGGAGACGGGTAGTGCTGCCTTTGTTAAGCACAGGGCATATTCCCCCACTGTCAGAATTCTCTTTTGGAAATATTCAGAGCTGTTTTCATGCTGCTCTCTGCAACTCTAAGGCGAGAAAAATAATCCACCATTTCTTTTCTTGTTTTTAAAAGAAGTCTAAGACTCACAGAATCACAAACTCTCTCACTGGCTGATGGGAGAAGATCAAATGTGAGAACTGGCGATGCTGATTTTGGTCCCATTTCTGTCTTCTTGGGATGCAATCCTGCTCTTTCCAAAGAAAACAGCAGCCACACTTCCTCAGCAGGACAAGATCTATGAGGAGGCTGAATGGTGGGAGGACTTTCAGCAGCCTTCATCCCTTTTCTCTTCAAAATACACATGGATGTGGCAGTTCAGCTGTGAACATGGTGTTAGTGCTGTGTTGACAGTTCAGTTTAAGGGTCTTTTCCAATCCTAATGATTCTATAATTCTATTAAACACAAGTTGGTACTTCAAAGATCACTGCACACCATGCAAGGCAGGTTTGCAGGCAGAGATGATCTCCCAGGTGACCAAGTAAGAGCCAAAAGAAGCAGACATGCAGATCTCAGAGCTTCAGGCAAGGTGAGGAGATCCACTCTGCTCCATAGGTACAGGTTACCTCATCTTTCAGATCTGGTCTAAGAGACATTTACTTCATTATTTCCTCCCCAAGAGTTCTCATTTTGTATTAAGTTATCAAGCCTGCAGCTTTTTGTCAGATTAATGATTTGTGCATTCAGAAGTCAATCCACTTTTCCACCTCCATTACCAACAGAAATGCTGCCACTCCACCTCACAAGTTTTGCACAGGGTTATGTTACTTTTTCTCCCATGACTTGGACACGTTGTACATGACTTCAGTTCTTTCTGACAGAAGGGATAAGGTACACAATGCCTGCAGTGCCCCCAGGTTTCTCCTTGGAGCTGGGCTCTGTTGCCAATGGGATGTAGCAGCTCCTTCAGGAGACAGGGAAAGAAGCACAAGGGAGCAGGGAATTGACAAGGTCTCAGCAAAAGGAATAATTTTACAGCCTGATGACAGAATCAGGTCATTGTGTCCAGTGTGAAGGGCTTTTCTTTGGTAAGAGAAAAATTATCAAGTCATCACAATAATGAGAATGGCTAGTTTTTACAAAACTTCATTTAAAATAAATGAAAAACAAGGACTGTGATATGAATAGTCTTATCAAAAAGAAAAGTGGCAATTCCAAAAATGTCAATTAACCCTTCATTTCAAAGCAACTTATTTCATGCTACCAGTAAAAACCTGAATATTATGATTGCCACTAAGGACTTTCATTTTTTGACACAAAAAAAAATCTTTTAAGAGAAACAGAAAATCTCTATTTTGGCTACACTTGGATTTCAAATGACAGGAGTTCCCCCTTCAGCTGGTTCCCACACAGCTTCAGATAAATCACAGCTCAGCACAGAAACCTTCACTACTGTCTTCCCCAGTCTCCCTCCACTCCACTGGAGGGCCTGGTGGGAATAACCAGCAAGAAAAGTGAGACGGAAACCAAGATCCTGTGGAAAGGTTTCTGCAGCAGTGCTGAAGGTGGATGCTCTCATGGGCAACAGCAGCTTGGCTCCAGCCTACAGGTAAATGTGCTCCTGCTGACACTATCCACACTGAGTTTTTATAATGAACTGGACTGAAAATTTGGCATTTTCCTGTTCCTGTTTATAATCCACTGATTTGTGCTGCAGACAAAATCCTCCGTCCTTCAGCCGCATGCTGGGGCAGCTTTGGGGATGCTCTGCAGATGGTGAGGCCTTGGATGGCTCTGACACAGGGAGATTCCATTTCCCAGCAGTGTTCAAAGAAAGAAAGGAAAAAAAGAAAATAAATGGAGAAAAGGGGAAACACTGCCAATCTTCAATAACTTGAGGAGAGCAATGCTGTGCCAGAAAATAAGATTTGTGTGTTCAGCTCCTGCATAATCCTGGGTAAATCCCTATCTGCCTAGGCCTGCTGAGGTTATCTGATACTAACAGACATCAGGAATTTAAATACTCTGGAATTCCAAGTTCTTCTATGCCTAAAGCCTGACCTACAAATTAAGGATTTTAAGTAATTAACATCATTTCAGTGCTGCAAGCAGCAAATCCCTTGAAGCACTTGTTATCACAGCAATGGGGTCCATATGATGTACACTCTTATACTGTTATTAAAACTGTCTTCTTGACATACCTTTGAGCTCTCCTCCTCTCACTTTTCTTCGCACACTTGATCAGACAGCAAGTTAAGAAAGCCATGGACATCAGCAGAATGACAGCACAGCTCACAATGGAGGCAATCACTGCCACCTTAAAGCCAAAAGTCTCGTATTTTGATATGGCTGCAGTAAAGCAAACACAGAAACGATTCAAAGATCAGTTCATGAATTTATCTTTCACATTTTCATTAAACCACACTGAAACCTGCCTGCTTCACACTTGTGCTCAGTGAGGACTTTCACATTACTATGTGTCAAGATACCAGAGATTCTTGGCTTCAGCTTTGACCATATGCAAGCCTCAAACCGGACTATATAAAAATCTCCTGTTTGTAAGTTACTAATAAATTGTTCACAAGCATTTCACCACTGCAATTAATTAAACACAGTGCCCTTAGCACTGCAGTAGCTCAAAAGCACAAGTCTGCCAGCAGATCAAATGCAGATGAGCTGCAGACTCTTTATTAATAAGGACTGAAGCTACAGAAATGAATACAAACATGGGTAAATGAGCTTAAAGAAGCCATTTAGAGCAAGGACAGTTCCATGCAATTACATCCTCTTTGCAGCAAACAACAGGTCTTCCTCTGTTTGGGGAAGGATGGAGTATGGAAGAAGTGACATGCAGGGCTGAGTGTTCATAGGGATCTGAAGCTGGAAGTGAATTATTCAGACAAAAGGAGGAGTAGGAATGTGATGTGGCACAGCTAACGCACGTCTCTCATAATGCCAACTCACTTGGAGCAGTCTTGCTTCAAAACTCAGCTAGTTCTCCCAATGTCACAATGACCAGCATCACAAATGGTTCAGCTGAGCTCCACACAAAGCATTCTATTTCTGCAGCCTCTAGAGGAAGGATTTATCTCATTTTTTTCTTTTATGGGATCTCCAAAGAAGAGGTAAGAATAGCTGAGTGTGGGAGAGAGCACTAAGTGTCTGTAAGAGCAATGTATCCAGTGGGGATTTGAAATGACACAAGGTCTAAGGCACCTCAAAGCTCAGAGGTACCAAGATTTGCTTGGGTCTACTTCTGGTCAAACTATTAACAACCTTATAATAAACAAGCAGAAACACAGCTAAAAGGTAGTTAATGCTGTTGTCATTCAGACACTATTTCTCTATATGGTGAATTTCCCATGCAGCTGCAACAACCAAGAATTGTTCAAAAAATATCACCATTCTTCTTTTACAGCAAAAACATTGTCAGAAAAGACTGCCAGGACATAAGAAGTTCACAAATATGCTTGCCCATCAGTAGGTCATTCCCATAGTGCTGGGGTGATTTATGATGATGGTCTATTCCCTGATCCTCTGCTTTACGCCCCAAAATCGTTGCTGTGTCTTTAAGGTGGGTCTGGGGGAAAGGGGGAGCCTTGGGTTTTTCAAAGCTGGGTTTTTCAAAGCCTCACTCTCCCCGCGTCTGGGAGCTGTGGTGCAGTCTGGGTTTTGCTTGGCTAGTTTGGGTTTTTTTGTTAGCCCAGGCGGAAATTTGGTTGGTTTTTTTTTTTTTTTTCTTTCTTTTTCCTGGGCTTGGAGAGGCTGCAGCAGCAATCCTTCAGCTGCTTTTCGAGGTGAATTGGACGGTTCGGTTTTGGCCCAAGATCAGGGAGAACAAGCACCAGGAGAAGAATCGGCCGGGCCCCGCGGGAGAGAGGGGCTGCTCCTTTTTGGCCCCAGACCTGGGAAAAAGCCCGGACCGGGGAGGGAAAGCACACCTGCTTCCCCTCTTGTGTCTGGGGACAAGGGACCAACAGCACAGATGCACCGGCTTCCCATCTGTGCGTGCCAGCTGCTGCGGGAACGTTTTGGTTTTCTCCCTGAGGCAGGACCTGGTGCCATCTTTCTCCCCAGCGGCCGTTGTGGCTTTTTATCTTGCTCTGGAGTTGTGGGTTTTTGTGGATTTTTTTTTGTTTTTGTTTTTTTCTTTTTTTTTCCCCGGGGCAGGAGGGTGTGTGTGTTAAGGCCTGACAGTTCAATATCTAGCATTTATTTACTTTTTCTCCCGTGCCATGTGGGCAGTCTGTTTGTCAATAAACGATTGGTTTTTTCACTTTCATCCACTAGTATTCATTTCTTATTGGTGGAAAGGGATTGTTGGAACCCTTTTTTTTTAGAGGAAACACTCATTCCAGAGTGTTTTTCTCCTAAACTTGTCTCTAAACTGAGACACCCATACATTCTCTAAAGAAGCACACAGCTTTTAGCTAGAGGCAGAGTTATTCCAGGCGCTACCAGTGACATGAGATCAGAGATGAATCCAACAGAATCTCTTCTGTGTGTCGTGATAATGGCATGTCAGAACATATATGGAGTGGAATTACCATCAGTGGGGCAACTTTGAAGAAAATTTAATTTGTCTTTTCCTTTGTATCTAGAAAGAACCCTAACGTTGCAGGATAGGCAGGGCAAAATGAAGGCACCCCGTCCCAGAGGGAGAGGCACGGTTTGGGAAGAGCCTTACGCTTGCAGGAGGGCACTCCGGCTGTCCACTGCGTGCCGTTCCCTTTCCAAACGCAGGTGACGATGTCCGGTCCCTGCAGCTGGAGCTCGGCCGAGCACCGGAACGCGAGCACGGTGCCCACGTCGGTGCCGCTGCCGCGCAGGACGCGCAGGGAGCCGAGCGGCGGCGGGAGCAGGCGGCGGCACTGCCCTGCGGAGCGAACACACAAACAAAAAAAAATAACTCAGCGAGGCGTCCGCTGAGGTTTTATCGGCACCACAATGTGAATCAGTCACAGTTAATGGGCAAAACAAACGCCGGACCTCGGGGTGGCCGATGCTGGCTGCTCTGCCAAGCATCAGCCCGCGGCTACCCTCCATCAGCGCCATCCGACAGCTCCTCTGCCTCACCCCGGCACAGAGCAACTCATGTTGTGACATTATCTGCTCACACTGGTACACGCTGAACACTAAAACAAACAACAACAACAACAAAAAAAAACAAAAAAAACCAACAACAAAAAAAAACAAAAAAAACCAACAACAAAAAAAAACAAAAAAAACCAACAACAAAAAAAAACAAAAAAAAAAAAAAAACCACAAAAAAAAGTAATTTCTGAGTAGCACGGGCCCCTGTGAATCTCTGTGTTGTTGGATTCTGATTAATTCAGTGCTCAGGCTGGCTGGGAATATTCATTACGTGCCTACCCCCACACAAATTTCCAAGATCTACTGAATTGATCGTGCAGTTCAGCCTACTTGGTAGCATCTTGGCATGATCTGACTGCAACTTCTTATCTTTACAAAGCACTGCATGTCTGGTTGGCTTGGCTGAAAGGGGCCAGCAGGGTCAAAACAATAGGGAAGAGCATAGAAGGACATACACATATAACTTATCTCCCTTTTCAAGTGACAGAGTCTGCTTTATGGTAAATCATTAATTTTTAATAAATTTTTGTTCATTCCACTTTTCTGTTACTTTGTTGTTTATACAGTTGCTCTTTGAGCTATGGAGCAGTTCTCCCCTTGGGCACCTCATGTTAGCCTTTAACTTCATACACTAGGTTTTATTGTCACAACATTCCTTGTTCAGCAATTTTAAACAAAACTTTCAATGAGAGGTGATTAAAACAACATATAACATATGGATGACTTCAAAGGTAACAAATACTTTTTCTGAGTCTGTATGTGTGCTTTGACAGAATCCAGAAGCTAGGTTATTTTTAACATTCACAGAATACCAGCACTGCTTCTGCATCAGAGCCCAAGTTCCCTGTTTTTCACTGGATTTCCAAACGACTTGAGAAAACTCAGAGGCATAGCGCTGCAAGCACTATGATGGCACACACAAAAATATTAAAATGGGGAAAATACATTTTCCACATCTACAGGCAAAAAGAAATTACAGCCTCCGTGAGAACATCCTGACAGAACCACATGTTGTGAGCAAATCTATTTTATTTTGAATGCTAAAACTCTCCCCATGTCATTACTGTTGTTAAGCCCCTAGATCGTACCGCAGCAGGCAGGCATCCCACCTATCTATCTCCAATTCATGGTCTTAAACTCGCTGTCCCTGGAAAACAAACCCAAAGGAATCTCAGGAAAAGACCAAACAGAAGTCCCAGTGACAATTACTAGGCTAATCTACTGAGTAAATATGCACCAAGCACTAGCTTTTAAAACCACAGCTCCTTAATTCCATGCTGATTATTTCTGTTTGTTTTGCCACTTCTTTCAGCCACTTACTACAGCAGCAATTGGCCTCAGTGAGAGCAAATATTTTCTATAGGACTGGTTTCTTTTCACCTCTTCCTGACCACATCCCATTCCTGGAACATACAGAATGTATTGAACAATTCCTCCTCACTCCAAATGAGTGTTACGAGTTTGGGCTTTTCTTTTTATTTTAATCACTTTAATCACTCTGTGGTTTACCATGAGAATACACTGTCCTAATCTGCAAAATAAAGATTTTACATATAGTTGTTTGTTTTTTGTTTTTTATTTTTGTCATTTTACAATTTCAAGGCTATTTTTAGACATCAAACCACATTATTAGAGTCCACATTGGTGAATCTTGTAGCTGGACAAGATGCAAAAAGTAACTAGAGCTGAATTGGACTTGATGCACACCTGCGAGTTTACCTGGACTCACTGTTCACTCTTTGTTCTCCAAAGAACAAACAATTTGGCACTGGATCCTTTCTTTCAAAACACATTTCATTTAATCCAGCACTGACCATCCTGAGTAACACGTGCAGCTGTAGCTACTGGAGTGTTTTGAACCTTCCCTGCCCCATCCTTGCACCATTCCTCAGCTGTGGGCTTAAAATTATTTTTGCTCCACTTGAGCTCTACAGAAATGTCTACTAGTCAGTATCCCCTGAAAATGTGGGTATTTCCATGCTTTGCCCTGGCTGAACAGCATCAGGGATCATGCCCAGAGGATCTTTCCCATACGAATGTATTTGGGACTGGAACCTCTCAATGAGAGCTACACATCCAAAACCTTCTGTACCTGAGCTGAAAGTTGATCAACAACTTCATGTACCTGCACTTGTGCAGAGGAGAAACGCTGTTCTTCTTTTAAAATATGCTGTTCTTCTCTCAATACCATTTCTTCCCACTAAAGCCAAAAACTTAAATGTGTCACTGCTTTTTGCTTTTCACAAATGCATTTATTGAAATACTCAGATGGAGATTTGCCAGAATGATCTTCTGAAATTTCAACCAAGCTAGGATTAAGCTTCTCTGCATAAAATTTGCCCTAATTTTAATCATTAATTGTCTTCTAAAAATGCTTTTGGAAAACTTTCCTGTGAGCTCTAGTGTCCTTCACTATTAGCTACCTGTAATGTTTTTGCAGTTGGCCATGGCATTCACTTTTCTGCTGGGTTAATTTTACCCTTACATCTCCAAAGAATCATGTTTAAGTAAGCTTCCATCCTTATACTTACATAAGCAGATGTTCCATACAGACTTCTTTTTTAATACTCTTCAGGCATGTTTATCATAATAAATCTGCTATAATCAAGAATTTAATTACTGTTTTTATTAATAGAATTAATATTATTTTTGTTTTCAGCTGAGACTGGTGTCTTATGCTGCATTTCTGCCTGGTAAAACACAAACATTTGTGCTGACCAGATTTACATTTTGATTTGTATTTCTTTTCTAAATATCTAGAAAATGTCATGTTCAGGTCTTGGTTTGCATAACTGGCACCCCGAAATCTAAAAATGAAAAACTGTAAAATTGAATAAATCCCCCAGTTAGAGAGCTGGAGGCCCTCTGCTCCGGTGACAGGGTGGAAGCATTGGCATTGCTCAGCCTGGAGAAGAGAAGGCTCAGGGGAGACCTTAGAGCCCCTTCCAGTGGCTAAAGGGCCCATGAGAGAGCTGGAGAGGGACCTTGGAAAAGGGCCTGCAGGCACAGGACAAGGAGGAATGGCTGAAACAGTACATTTAGATGGGGTATTGGAAAGAAATTCCTGGCTGTGACGGTTGGGATGCCCTGGCACAGGGTGCCCAGAGCAGCTGTGGCTGCCCCTGGATCCCTGGCAGTGCCCAAGGCCGGGTTGGACAGGGCTGGGCGCCACTGGGACAGTGGAAGGTGTCCCTGCCCACGGCAGGGGTGGCACTGGATAGGCTTTGAGGCTCCTTCCATCCCAAAACCTCCCGTGATTCTACAGTTCTATGGTTCCGGTTTCTGCAGCTATTTCTGCAGTTTTTTGTAGAGCGGGAGCTGATTTATACAAACACAATTCTCAGCTTGGCCTCATGCTGAGAGGACATCCAGTGTTCAGAAAATCTCTGAATCTGATGTTGCTGTCTGGCAGTGCAGAATGGCACTGGCTACTACATACAGGTAATTGCATATGAGAAATAACTGTTGTCAAAGTAAAGACAGACGCTAAAGCACAGTGTCCTCCATAACCTCTTAATTCACACAACCTCTGCATTCAGAAATAAACACATACATCATTTCCAGGCAGTGAAAAATAGAGAGTAATGTAAAAATAATCCAAAATATCTCTTCTCAGGTGCAGCCAGGATTATCTGTATTGCAAAACTGATTTGTCAAAAAGAGGAAACATATGGTTTCACTATCAGCAAGGTGTGAGTTTCTGTTTGCTGATAAGAAAAAGAAATGAGAGAGCAACCTGGGCATACCTGCCTGGTAAACATTTCCTGTGCTCCTTCCACAGCAAAACAGTGAGTAAAATCAAATAAATTGCACAAGTATCTACCAAAATTATCTAAACTACAGAAGTAATTACCTGGAAGCATGTTAGCAAGGCTGCCACTTGCTGTCTGTCCAGAAAGAGAGCGATCCATGTCTTCACCTCATTATTCCCAGACACACAAAGGTCACCCCTATTAAATTGTTTTTCTAGGGCCAGTTCTTATAAGCCCTCGAAAAACACTTAATACACCCAAGGATAGCTCAGCTATTGCTTTGGGGGCATAAAATAAGCAGGATGGCTTCTGCTGCGGTGTTAGAAACAAAAAAGGTATAATAAAAGGCAAAATAACAACAGAAAAACTCGAGCCAGGTACAGAGGTCTGCTCCTGGTAGAAACACTTCACAAAAGCCCCTCTTCTCTTTTGTTCTGTTCTTTTCTATCTGATGGTTCAGGTGGGACTTTTTGGCTTCTATCCAATTAGATGTTCTCTAGTGTTTGGTAAAGTCCCTGAGGCCCTATGAGGTGGCTTTTCACCTAACATTTGAGACAAACTTCTGGGCTTCTTTCTTTTTTGGGGGACAAAGGTTAGTTTTGCCACTCTGTCATTAGGGGGCACATTCCTACACACCCCTTTGCATTGCTTACTGTTGGCGATTTAATACCAGTAAAATATGCTGGAATAACTAGATGCCAGAGAGAAACAGAACACTAGGCTCTATCAACCCTGTAGAAAATAAACACACCAATATTATTGCTGCAAGTCTCTTTTCCTACAGAAGAACACCTCAGGAACTGGTGTCCCTGAAATCACAGGCATTTTAAGCATCCAGAGCAATCTCACAGAAGAGCTCTGGGAAGAGCTCACTGTGTTAAAAAGCAAAAGAAAAGCAGCTAAAAGTGAAATGTGAAATAAAGAAGATGTAGCAAAGAATCTTGTATAGAGTGAAACTCTCTGGCCCTGGCATTGGTCTCCTCACCACCATGCCTTTAATTTCTTGCAGAGCTGGCCTTGAGTCCTGTCG